GAGAGAAAGTGTTAGAATACCAGGATTCTCCTTTTTATCGTGATTTCTCATGAAAAAATTTGCAGCCCACTGTTAGGATGGCCCTGATGAGCCGAAGTAAATGCTTCCAAGTTGTTATCTAGTGTAATTACTTTCTATGGAACAGTCAGTAGACTGTTCCTTTTTCAGCTGGTGAGGTTTTTCACTCTGCTTCCCTCAACTGGATATCCTTAACAAGATGTTCTTCTGCAGCTTCAGTTTTCAGAGCCAAATTCCATAACCTGTTTGATAATCGAATCCCTACACTTGGTTGTCTAATGCCCACACTAATTTTGCCATTCTGTTGTCTATTTATCCATTTTGTACTGAAATTTGAGAAGAAATTTGACCAACAGTCTGCACTTGGAGAGTGCAGTCCCTAGATTTAATTGAATTATACTTGTATCTCTCTTAATAAATGCCCTGAGGCTGGAGAGCGTGGGACTAAGCCAAGCCTGAATCTAGAATCAGCCCCACCTGAGGGGAATCAGGCAATTCCCTACAAAGATCAAATGGCAACCACAACAAATGGGGGATATTGCAGGGAGAGGGGGAATATAAAAAGTTCCTGCAGGACTATGGGACTGGGCAGTGTGGATGGTAAAGTCTAGTGAGTGCTGTGAAGAAGAAACTCTGACTGTTTTGGACTGAATGTCTTATCTCCCAGGGAAGCAATAGAAGAGCTCTGGGGTTGCCAGGTGTCCAGTTTTGAACCAGACAGTCCAGTATTTGAGCTTTGTGTTTGGGAAAAATTGAGAAAATATAAGTGTCCAGTATTTTCTAACTAAGATGTAATGTTGATTGTGATGTAAGTGTCTGGTATTTTTGTTGAAACCATTTGGCAACCCTATATGAAGCTAAACAGAAATAGCTTTCAGGAAGGGTTTTCAAACTGTTTGGGAGCTGAGCCCATGTGTAAATATTGCATATGGTACTGCTCTTTTAATCTGAATGTATAGTCACTTTAGTTATGTGAACCAAAAGCCAACTGGCATTTCATTATTGAAGTGCACTTGCTAATATAGCGCTTGTGTTTGCAGATTCTAACAACCACCTTGGTGTGTTAGGTGCGCAGCTGCAGTGCGGATGGACCTAGGTCCCTGGCAGTGCAAATCTGATCTTTGTGTTGCTACAATGTTTGCCTTTATAAGGATGAAAGCAAAAACCGAAGGTCTAATTCTTCTTTAGCTTAATAATCAATGGTGGCTGCCTGGGAAATGCACGTCACTAGTAGCTGCTGGCTGATCCTATGGAAGGCAAAGGGATTGGGAAGCACCTTCTACCAGGGTGCACTTTTGCCTTGGAGCTGCACAGCTGGAGGTGGGTGGACCCAAAGGATGGTCCGTGTTAGGAGCCCACCAGCTCCACTGCTGGCCCCTGTCTGGGAAATCCTTCTACCTTACCTTACCCAGAAACTTTTCTTCTGCTATGAGGGAGCACAATCCTGAAAGGAGGGCTGAGGGATTGTGGGCTCAAGGAGAACAAGCTTGGGGATTAAAGGGAAAGTTTCTCTTGGTGTAAGAGCAGGTGTGAAAGTAACTTACAATTCTTACAGGTACTATCCTATCCTACTATTCTTAGTAGGCATTTTTTAAATTACTTTCTACTATAAATTGTGCACCTGACAACAGACTGATCTCGTAAGGGAGGTGGGGATGGTTCTGATCTCTGTTTATACATTGACTACAAAACTACTTTACTTCAGCAAGAGGATCCGCTTTTACCATCTGTGGGTGAGGCCCAGACAGTACAGTTACATCACGTCAGGTTTGAGTTTTTACTTGTCAGTTCACTTCTGGCCTGAAGAGGGTTTGCAATGTAAAACATTGTGAATGTGAGATCTACAATGAAAGGGTTAGCGTGAGGGTTCAGTGAGCATGTGCAGAGACAGAGCCCAAGAGGGCTGACAGCAGGTGTGTGGCTCTCAACCTGCAGACGACAGTCGGCTTACGGCCCAGTCAGCACCCAGCTGCAGCGCATGTAACACCCTCAGGCCATATAACGCACAGAGAGCTGCATGGAGATGTGGCTCACAGTGGTAAATGGGTTGAGAATCGCTGCTGTGGAACATTGTTGTGTCTGCTCAACCTGCTCCTCACCTAGGCACCGTGAATTCCAGCCCTATTGTGAGTGGAAATTGGAAGCACAAAGACATGTGCTTACTGTCCACCTCTGCTAAAGGCGTTTTGTGTTCAGGGAAACATAACCTGAGCACAGCAGAATATTCAGAAAGCCCTAAAACAACTTTTAAAAGAAATGACACATGCCAACTCTTGCGGGGAGGAGAGGTGAAGTTAGGGAGCAGAGGAAGCTGTGGGGAGGGACAGGGGGATAAATGGGGATAAGGGAGAACAGTTGTGGGAATAGGTCAGGGAAGGGAAACTTTGGAGCAGGAGCACTTAGCTGCCTCACATCCTCCTTTGATCTGGCATCCTTGTGGGGAGGGGGAGGCTGGGGCAGGTAACTTTACCTGCCCACAAGGACGGTGGGGCCACTGCTTCTGGTGGGGGGACCAGCAGCAGCGTGAGACTCCCCCCTCCCCCATAAACAGCTCCTTACTTGCTCATTAGACAGCTCCTCTAGGTCCCTTGCTGATTATTTTGGTGCAGTGCAGCCAGCTCTTGTAAGAGCTGTGGGATGGGGGGGGGGCACACCCCTACTTTCATCTCTGTGTAAGAGACATCATAAGTAAAATCCCGCAAAGCAGGAAGTTTAGTTTAAAGTGGAAGTGGGCAAAACCAGGCCCAGGGGCCAAATCCGGCCTGCCAAGCGTTTCTCTCTGGCCAGCCCAGCTGATTAGCAGAGTGTGCATACTTACAGCCTGCAGCCTGTGCTCAGCTGCCCCTCCCCACCACAGACACACTCCCCACAGCTTGCTCCATCCTGCAGCCTGGCTGCCCCCAGGATTCTCTCTGCAGAGCGGGTGGGTGGGAGAGGGTTGAGAGGAGTGCTGAAGTCTGGGGGTGCTCCTCCCCAACACCTCATCTGCTGCTTGTCCCCCTCTCCCCAACCCCTGCTCTGCAGAGAACTGCTCCAATCTAAAGCCTGGATTGTCAGTGATTCAGGGGACTGGAAACACAACAAAGCAGGGCAGCGTTCCCTGTCTTGGAGCCACAGCGTGGCTTCTCTCAGAAACGTCCCCAGCACATGCTCTGGCACTGCCTCACAACCCCGGTCTGTGCCACACACACGGTCACTATCCCACCCACACTGCCATGCACACTCAATCGGTGTCAGTCTGTCTCTCACGTACAGAGTGTCTCTTCCACGCTGTCTCTCTCTGTAGCCACCAGCCCCAACTCTCTGTCCAACACCCTGCTCCTTCCGGGGTGGTCCAGAGCTAGACCAAGACTAGGTACCAAAATTCGTGAAGGGGACCCCTGCAAAAATGATTGCCCACTTGCCAGTTTAAAGTCCTCTGGTACAGGGAAGGATTCTTCTAAGAGCCAGCAGAAGGAACAGAGGACAGCACACCTCAGGACCATGCTGGCCTGCTTCAGATGTCTCCTGTTCCAATGCCTAAAGCAACTCAAGTCAAGGAGAATGTACCCTGAATACTGATTTTTGTTTTGCTTAATCACAGAATTGCTGGCAGGTACAGCTATGTTTACCGGGGGGAATGTTAAAGTAAAGGCTCATACCAATTGGCCAGCATTGGTGTGTGTGTCTGTCCAGCTGGGATATGGACTGCTTCTCCACTTATGTATTTCACAGTTCTTGAACGCTCCTAACCTATTCCACTTTAATAAGATAACTTAAATATTTCTTTGTCATGGATTGTGCGCTGAATATTTTCAGTCCCCATTAAATAAGCCTTGGCAGAATTGGATGCTTCAAGCAGAATTTCACTATAATAGGAGAGGGCATAATATCCTAGAATATTTGAACTGGAAGGGACCTCAAGAGGTCATCAAGTCCAATCTCCTGCTCTCATGGCAGGACCAAGTACTGTCTAGATCATCCCAGACAGATGTCAGTCTAACCCACTCTTACACATCTCCAGTGATAGGGTATGTCACGAGGAGTAACGGTAGTTCAAACTAGGAAGCCTAGTTCGAACTACCTAGTTTGTGCCCCGTGTAGCCGTGCTGCACGAGGTTCGAACCAGCGGGGTTTTAAAAATGGCGGCTCCCCGCTTATGCAAATGAAGCCCGGGAAATTCAAATCCCGGGCTTCATTTGCAAGTGCGGTATGCCTACATTACCCTCCTAGATCGAACTAGGAGGGTAGTGTAGACATACCCTTAGTGTTTAACAACCCTGGCAGTTAGGAAGTTTTTCCTAATGTTCAACCTAAACCTCCCTTGCTGAAGTTTAAGCCCATTGCTTCTTGTCCTAGCATCAGAGAGAACAATTTTTCTCCCTTCTCCTTGTAACAGCTTTTAAGGGACTTGAAAACTTCTCTCATGTCCCCTCTCAGTCTTCTTCTATCCAAACTAAACAAGCCCAGTTCTTTCAGTCTTTCCTCATAGCTCATGTCTTCTAGAGCTTGAGTCACTTTTTTTTTTTTTTTTTTTGCTCTTTGGGACCACTTCAATGTCTCCACATATTTCTTGAAATGTGGTGCCCAGAGCTGGTCATGCTATTCCAATTGAGGCCTATTCAGCACAGAGTAGAGTGGAAGAATGACTTCTAAAGTCATTCGCACAGCACTCCTGTGAATGTATCCCAGAATCATGGAGTTTTTTTTCCCCACAGTGCAAACACTGTCACACTGACTCATATTTAGCGTGTGGTCCTCTATAACCCTTAGATCCCTTTCTGCTCTATTCCTTCCTAGACAGTCGCTTCCCATTCTGTATGTGTGAAATAAATTGTGCCTTCTTAAGTGTAGTACTTTGCATTGCTCTGGCCCAGAGTAATGTGCTCTGGCCCAGAGGATGGTAGTAGGGCCTGTCTTCACCTTCTACAGTATCTCTTGGCAGTCTGAAAGTCAATGTGCCTATTCCATTTTAATCAATTCTCTTTTTTATTATTTTAAAGGACGAGCTAATCATTGGTCAGCCATCATTGGTGGTTCTCACTCTAAGAATTATGTTCTTTGGGAATACGGAGGATATGCCAGTGAAGGTGTTAAACAAGTTGCAGAGTTGGGGTCCCCAGTAAAAATGGAAGAAGAAATTCGGCAACAGGTGAGTGTAATGGAAATAACTGAGTATTTTTAAGAGTAGCTTAGTTTTCACTTCGAATGGCTTGGCCCTTGATGTGTTAAGAAATGTCATTGCACTGGCTGACTCTTAACTGGACAAAGTAGGAAGGCCCTCTGCGAGTAACTTAATATTTGCCTGTGGGTTTTTTTTTAAATGGTTTTTTTATGAAGCTAATAAGATGTCAGTAAGGACAATTTACATTTGTTTATCAAGTTATTGACATGGTCAACACTCTAACAAGTGGAAATCTGACTTACAAAGTTAAAATTCATCTTCAATGGGTTAGTCAATGGCAACACTTGTAATCTGTTAAAAGGAACATGTTGAAGATTGCTAGTCTAGTTAGGCAATGTATAATGTGCTTTTTTTACCTTCTGATTTTCACTTTGTATTTCATGACACAGGCACAGTATCATTAGGAGGAGATGCAGTATGTCTAATACATTTCCTGAAGTCCGGCAGGTGCCTTAGTAATGACATTTACAAGCGAAGTAACTAAGGCCACGTTAGTGTAATTCAAATAACAGTAGAACTAGAAGCCCCAGCCCTCTTGTGCAAACACACAGTACAGAGATGGTCCCTGCCCTGAGAAGTTTACAATTTAAGGGATCCTACAAACCTGTATCTTCAGCAGATGACCGGTACGGTAAAGTTAGCTAATCTAATCTGTACAGCTGAAGACAGTGGTGGCAAATTATTGCTCTGAATAATTCCAGATGCTTCGAGTGCAAGCAAAATACACTCTCTAATGATTAGCTCAGAACTTGCGTGAGAGTAGTACTGTACCATGTTCAGCCACAGGGTTAGTTTCACCCCAGCAAGAGCAGGGAGATATGAAATCCATAGAGGCATCCTTTGCAGACCATGGTCTGGACACAACCAGACAGTGCTGTCACTTCTTAATGTGCCCTGGTCTTTTGTGATCTTGATAAGATGGTTGCAGCCACCTGGTACTGACTGAAAGTGACACGTTTGTGGGAATGGACATTTGAAAAACCTGCATTTCACTTTGAGGGTCCTCTATACTGTGTGTGTCTGTGACGTGAATGCTTAAATATGGGACTCCTCTTTCAAATGACAATATATAGTGACTTTTAATGTCAGGTTTAAATATGAACTGAACTAGCATTAAAAAGGGGGACATTTTCATAGCTCAAGAAAAAAGTAGATGACGTTTACTCAGAGTTCAATCAGTAACTACTCTAAGCTACAAAATGAATAGATAAAGAAATTAGGTTTAGGATTGGCAAAAAATTCTCCAGTGACACTTCCCCCCTCCCCTCATGTAATTTCAACTAATGAGACCCTTTTGAGAAGTGCCTGATTTTCACAGAATATTTCAAGTTGTTGACATACCAAACACCTGTAAACCAAAAACTCTAGGCTGAAAACCAAAGATTTCAATTTGGCAGTGTCACTGCTCTGTATTTATAGGGTAAACCTACATGATGGATTGTCTCCCATGACACACCATCACAGTTCAGCAAGAGTGGAGAACATGATGTGTTTTGTGTGGGTAGGTAGCACAAGGGAACGATGGACATCTTCAGACCAGTTCTAATTAGGCACCTGCTTTTTTATATTTAGACTGAATTGTTAGTCATGTTTTTAGGCTTGAAAGATATTGCATATGCACAGATCTGGTGCACAGTATATTTACATGACACCCAGCAAAATTCATAGCCATGTTTTCAATACTTGAAAACAACAAATTGATGTTATAGTTTACAGTACGTGTATAAGACATGCTCTTGTCAAATACAGTAATTAGAAAATTCTCTACTGCTAAACCAAGGTACTTGCATTCACCAGAATTGTACATAGAAGGACTTTTGTGCATTTAGGTTTAAAAGTAGGAATACAGTTCCCTCATTGTCTCTAAATGAGAAGCTGTATTTCCTATAACATTACCTTTCTGGGTGATTAAAATTGCATGCTGTTGGCTAAAGGTTAATGTCCTTTAAAATTAATTAAATGACTCTTGACTACTTCAAAGACTGCGTATAATGATTACAGTGGCTGATTGCAAGGGACTACTAGCTTTGCTCAGTCTTATTCAAATGAATATAATGATTTAGATTGATATGGATCACTTCTTATTTTCTACTGGATAATGGCTATAAATAAATTAAGCATGCCTTGTACATCCAAAAATCTTGTTAAACAACAATATAGCAACTGACAGTTAAATTTTTGCCTTAAATCCAGAAAGGCAAATAATGCTGTAATTATTTAATAAATCTTATCTTTTATTCCTATAATTTAGTTGAGCTAATGATTAAAAGATAGGTCCCTGTCCAGTTTCGGATGAAGTCATTCCATTGACTACCATGAGCTGGATCACAAACTCCTAATGACTCAAGTTTCCCAAGGAAGGATGACAGAATTAGAACTTGTTAGTTAGTTGTTATCACTAGAATATAGTGAATATAACTCACTATACTTCAATTGGCAGCCTTTTCCAAAGATCATCCCTTGCACGGAAGCAAGAGCTTTTTAGGCATTCAACTTGATCTAGATGCTCCAAAATTCTTCCATTTATAATTTGCACAAACAAGAACACATGGTTGAAACAGAAGCAAAGAGCTTTCTTAAGATTTTTTTCCCCCCATTATGAACAGCAAGTAGTACATAAAACAAACCCTGTGCAATGTCAATAGGGCTGCCAGATACTTTCACAAAAAATCCCAAAAATGGCAGGAAAAAAATTGGTTGAGCAAAAAAAAAAAAAAAATTGCTGCGCCTTTAAATGTCTCCTCACTCACCCTGCCCTCACAAGATGCGGCAGGGGAAGAATTTTACATGTCCAGTGTCCAGTATTTTCTGTGGTTTTTAATGGAAAGGGGCCAGAAATAACGGACTGTCCAGGTAAAAACCAGACACATGGCAACCCTATAAGTCAAACTGTTTTCTGTGCATTCAATCCCGGTCTCTCCTGTAGGCTTTGCTAAAAAGTCTAGAGGCTGCGAGAGAGAAAGAAATCAAATCCTCAGTTCACTTGCTCAGTACTAAGTGAGAAACTTTTCTTTTGTTTAAAGTGCCTTAAAGTAAACCATAGTTGCACTTGTTTCCTAGGATGCCCTTTGATTTGAAAGAGAGCCGCATGATTTTAATGGGACACTTTTGCAAAATTTGCTTTTAATGAGGGAACAATTTCTAGTATCTCCTACTAGTCTAGATTGGCTCATAAATCTTTGTTTTTTCTAAGATGCCCACTGCAAGCTCTTTTTTTTTTTTAATTGGTTGACCCCATTAGGAACCAGGCCTTTTAAACAGGAAGAGGTTTGTAGCATGTTTCATTTTATGCAATATCCATTTATCAAAATCCATACTTTATCAGAATCTACAGATTCCTTTTGTTAAGTACTGAGTTTTCCATTCACAAAATACTTTTGCATCTGCATTTGATGAAGTGGATGAATTGGCTAAAATGATGCTATGACTGGACATTTTTAAAAGTGCATATGGAATAAATATTCATTTCCTTTTAAAATGTGTTGCCTTTATTGAATTCACATACAGGCAGTCCCCAGGTTACGTACAAGATAGGGACTGTAGGTTTGTTCTTAAGTTGAATTTGTATGTAAGTCGGAACTGGTACATATTGTAGGGGAAACTCTAGCCAAACATTTCTCCAGAGCTCAGTTTTATTCTCCCACACCTCACTTTCCTCAGTCCTTTATTCTCAAGTTGAGGTGTCTGTTGAGAAAAGCCGCTCCGCGTCTCCTGGTCTGTTGGGGGGGCGCTAGCTTCACGTCTCCCTGGTCTGCTGGGGGGAAGCAGCTAGCGCGGGGTTGCCTCACCCCGTTTGTAAGTAGGGATCTGATGTAAGTAGGATCCATGTAACCCGGGGACTGCCTGTACTTCATTGTTCACGTAGTGTGGGAAAGTATAAATATAGGTATCATTTCTACTTTCTTCTCTTCAGTCATCACAATAACTCTCTTCTTTACAAAGAAAATTGTCCTAGTCCTTAATTTAAGCACATTAGGAGAAGGGCAAGAAAGGGATTCCTATTTTTTCCTGGTTGTTAAAGGTGAGGTGAACAAAATTGCACACCATTTAAGGTGAAAATGTACCATTGATTACTATAATGGCATAATCACACTTCCCATATAATATTCCCCATGTTTGTACAGCCTAAAATTATGCTCCTTTTTTAGTTTCCTCTGCTCATGGAACAGATCTGTTTGGGCTCTTCAGAATGATACCCAGATCACTTTTCTGAGAGTTGCAGACTGCAATCTGCAAGCAAAATTTACTTTGCTTTAACAGTGCCTGTTAAATCTCATCTGACATCTTGGTCTAGATATATTGCAAAATACATAGTTTTTCAATTTGCTTCCTCGAAGCAATGACTAAGGAAATATTTTTAAAAGGAGCTGGAATATATTTCACTAAAGCTGCATTGTGCTTTCCACCCCACTTTTCTCTGCTGCAGTCAGAACTCATTGGAGGAGGAGAAGGCACAATAAACGTAATAAAGAAATTTAAAAGCGATAGTCATTATTTATAGTGATGATATGATATGCTCACTAATGTTTGTCCTAATGTAAGCTCTCTGGGAACTGGTGTGAAAAATAGTGCTGGATCTTATATATGTTGCTTTTTCACCATTGTTATACATGAATGGCTTCCAAAAAAACACTGCCCAATGCCAAAGAAATAAGAATATTGTGGCAAACACTAAACTTATCCTCTCCACTCAGTATATTATAGCCATTTCCAAGGAAACTTGTTAAGCTACCCTCATAACAGGCCCACTGAACACAGCTTTAATTTCTGCCTGTATAGTAGTTAAGACCAGGCCTTCATGCAACCCTTCAATCTCCTGCATCCTAAGAAATGGAGTAAACTACATCGGGGGCAGACCATGCTATGACTTGGTCCAGATGGTTGCAGGTGACATTAGAGATGAAATATATTTGTACAGTTTAGCAGTATTTTGAAACTGGTTGGCTTCATGCATAGAATGGGGGTTC